CGAGCACCGTTTTATGAATAAATTCAAATTTTACATATGAAAAAAAATCTTCACATTTTCATTTTTAACTCACCGAAATATTAGAACTTTATTTCCAACAATACTGTAAAGACTTAAAATCAAGGTTCAAAATTATGTATCCATTTTTATGAGGTCTACGGGAATAATTCCTACTCATGCAACCGTTTCAGGTCATTTCTCTGACGGTATTAGTTTCTATTACTATATTAATTTGTTAAGTTACTCGGCCATTTACACCTATTTAGAACTATATAGAATTTTAAAATTATTATAATTAAAATAGGATATTTCCAATGTAATAATGCACACACACACACAATTTTAAATAGATTGAATAGAAGTTTAGAAAATGGGTATAGTTAGATCAGTGCTTCTCAAACTTTCTATGCCTGCGACCCAATTTTCAATCATAATATTCATCAGCCCCCACACACACAATAACAATATACTTTGACGCAAAGCTACAATACGACTTTTATTATGCACCGAACGATGAAACTTCAAATTTTAATACTAAAAGTTCTAAGTTTTCATTTCTAAATTTTCAGTTCTAAGTTTTTTTTTACTGTTCTTCTTAGTCGTTCGATTAAGAAAATTAACTGGAAAAGATTAGGCACAGGGGTACCCGGATTTGAACCAGGGACCTTTCGATCGTAAGTCGAACGCTCTACCTCTGAGCTATACCCCCAACGCATCGATCTGTCAGTTTTATATTGATAACGTTTGTTCATTTAATTCTTTTTTATCTATTTTATTATTTTTCCTCTGCTCTTGATATTTTGAATTTAATTTGATCCCCCACCTACGACTCAGCTATTTGCTATATTTCATACATTGCCGGCTAGTTTTGGGCATTCTATAGAATGCCGGATTTCATACTTTGCCGGTGACATACATAATGTGCATTGTTGAAACAGTGTTTTTGCTTGATTATTATTTGAATCGTTTAATTGAAGAATCATTGTGCAGTACAATAGTGAGAATTAAATAAATATATTAATATTTTTAAGACAAAAAATAAACAACAGAAAATTATTTTAAATACTAGTATTTATTTTGGTGTTTGAAAATTTTATATTATTTAAAATTATTTTAAATCTTCGTATTAATTCTGGCGTTAGAAAAAAATTTGTATTACTTATTTTCTAATATTTAACTTCTCAGCAATGCATCTCGCAATCCGGATTAGTATATTTCACTGTGGCTTAGACATTTTCTTACTACCGTGGTAAAACAGACTTTTAGTTGTTCAATCATATTTTTATCGTGGATTTTGAAATTAAAAACTTTTTAAAATCCAATAATAATTCAAGATTATTTTGTTGAAGTTTAAAATATATGGTTATTAATGCTAAAATATAGTTTATTACCTTATATCATTAAAATCTTTAGTTTAAAATAATGAAAACGGCTACGACTTTATTATAAAATATGATAATGTACCGATGATTTTTAGTGGAGACTTGAAAATATTAACTTATCAAATGATAAAAATCTACCTCTAATTGAATTTCTACATGAAGTACTTAATTTAAATATGTCCAATGATCGAAAACTCAGTACTACAAAATATAAAACGACGATCGATGCGGTTTTTACGAGATACTTAGATAACTTTGAATCAAACATTTTCCTTTTTCTTACTTTAGTTACCATAAGCCTATTGTATCTTTTTTAGAACAAAATGAAATAATTGAAAGTACAAAAAGTCTAAGTATTGTTGAAATTAATGATGACAATGATGCAAACATTTAAAATAATGTTCAAAATCAAGTACATTGAAATTTAAGTAAATACAAATGCTATCCATAAATAATATGATAGTATATTAATTGTTATTTCAATTGAATTGTATTTATATATTGTCATGACTTGTACACACAGCCCCGTAATATATACTTGAATATTAAAAAACCATTTAAACACACATATAATTGTTGCTCGGAGTGTCAATAGATGTGAAAACCAGACTGATGTTGATAATTTTAATTCACAAACATGATGAAACTTCAAATTTTAATACTAAAAGTTCCAAGTTTTCACTTCTATCGGCAGTCTCTATAACTGACAAATTTTTTTTTACAGTTCCTCTTAGTTGTTTAAATAAGAAAATTAACTCGAAAAGTTTACATCCAGGGGTACCCGGATTTGAACCGAGGACCTTTCGATTGGTAGTCGAACGCTCTACCGCTGAGCTATACCCCAACTCATCGATTTCTCAGTTTTATCTTGATAACGTTTGTTCATTTAATCTTTTTTATCTATTTTACTATTATTTTCCTCTGATCATATGATATAAATATGTGTTAGGTGCATTATTGAGGTATCTCTGAGACAATATTTTGGTTGATGACGATCTAGTCTGCTGGGCTGATCCTTTTCGCTAATTTTATGCTAGGTTTCACATTAAGTACTCAATGTAATATAAATAAAATAAAATGGCAACCAGTCGAAATTGATTTTAGAAATATCTTAGCTAATTGCCCTTGTATTTTTTTTCTGCGGCATAAATGTTAATATTTATGTGACTAAAGAAAACGACAGTGTATTTAATGGATGTAAAAATATTCGAAAGGGCCAAAGTTAGAGAACTTAACTCATCATATCGAGCACCGATTTATGAATAAATTCAAATTTTACATATGAAAAAAATCTTCACGTTTTCATTTTTAACTCACCGAAATATTATTAGAACTTTATTTCCAACAATACTGTAAAGACTTAAACTCAAGGTTCAAATTTATGTATCCATTTTTATGGGTCTACTGGAATAATTCCTACTCATGCAACCGTTTCATGTCAATTCTCTGACGGTATTAGTTTCTATTACTATATTAATTTGTTATGTTACTCGGCCATTTACAGCTATTCAGAACTACAGAATTTTAAAATTATTATAATTAAAATAGGATATTTCCAATGTAATAATGCACACACACACACAATTTTAAATAGATTGAATAGAAGTTTAGAAAAAAGGGTATAGTTAGATTAGTGCTTCTCAAACTTTCTGTGCCTGCGACCCAATTTTCAATCATAATATTCATCACCCCCCACACACATTAACAATGCAGTAATGCATTGCATTCAATAATAATATACTTTGACGCAAAGCTACAATACGACTTTTATTATGCACGAACATGATGAAACTTCAAATTTTAATACTAAAAGTTCTAAGTTTTCACTTCTATCGGGGGCAGTCTCTATAACTGACAATTTTTTTTTTACAGTTCCTCTTAGTTGTTCAATTAAGAAAATTAACTCGAAAAGATTACGTCCAGGGGTACCCGGATTTGAACCGAGGACCTTTCGATTGGTAGTCGAACGCTCTACCGCTGAGCTATACCCCCAACTCACCGACTTCTCAGTTTTATCTTGATAACGTTTGTTCATTTAATTCTATTTTTATCTATTTTATTATTATTTTTCCTCTGCTCATGATATTTTGAAATTTTAATAACTTACTTTATATATCTATCTAATATGAAGACAACAAATATGTGTTAGGTGCATTATTGAGGTATCTCTGAGACAATATTTTGGTTGATGACGATCTAGTCTGCTGGGGTGATCCTTTTCGATAATTTTATGCTAGGTTTCACATTAAGTACTCAATGTAATATAAATAAATAAAATAAAATGGCAACCAGTAGAAATTGATTTTAGAAATATCTTAGCTAATTGCCCTTGTATTTTTTTTTCTGCGGCATAAATGTTAATATTTATGTGACTAAAGAGAACGACAGTGTATTTAATGGATGTAAAAGATTTTCGAAAGGGCCAAAGGTAGAGAACTTCTTAACTCATCATATGAGCACCGTTTTATGAATAAATTCAAATTTTACATATGAAAAAAAAATCTTCACATTTTCATTTTTAACTCACCGAAATTTAGAACTTTATTTCCAACAATACTGTAAAGACAAACTCAAGGTTCAAATTTATTCTATTTTATGAGGTCTACGGGAATAATTCCTACTCATTCAACCGTTTCAGGTCATTTTTCTGACGGTATTAGTTTCTATTACTATATTAATTTGTTAAGTTACTCGGCTATTTACAGCTATTCAGAACTACAGAATTTAAAAATTATTATAATTAAAATAGGATATTTCCAATGTAATAATGCACACACTCACAATTTTAAACAGATTGAGTAGAAGTTTAGAAAAAAGGGTACCGCGTTAGATCAGTGCTTCTCAAACTTTCTGTGCCTGCGACCCAATTTTCAATCATAATATTCATCCCGCTCCCCCCCCCCCCTTATACAATAACAATGCATTAATGCATTGCATTCAATTATATTATACTTCAATATAATTATATAAATTATATTCAATATAATTATATAAAGCTTCAATACTACTATAACCTCTTTAAGTACTACCGGCGTATATAAACGTCTCGCTCAACCAAAGCATTAATTGCCCCGGACGTATATATGCGTCTTTCGAAAGTAAGACCCTTTCTGTGCCCTGCCATACATAAAAATTATTCCGAAGCCTTTAGAATACATTAAAAGAACATTGACAGTGTTTGCGAAGGATTTACTTATTTCAGAGCATTTGCTTAGTTATTTCTTATATCCCCCCAATAGATCACACACGCGCGCCTACGTGGAAAACAATGGCTTTGGGGAGCGAATCGCATAACTTTAAATCGGCATTTAAGGGATTGAGTATAAACCATACAAACTGTCAAGACGAGTGTTAATTTTTTTATATAACTTGGTGTATAACAAGCCCATGGGCATTGGCGTAACGGAGAACATTTGAGCCCCCCTGCAAAGTCAGGTATTGGCCCCTCAAGGTGGATTTTACAAAGGATAGGTACTTGGCGGCAATCAGGCTTTGGATCCCTTACAACCCTGGGTCCCCCGCGATGCATGGGTGTACGTTATGCTACTGCCCATGACGTCACTGGTAATTATTAAACTTGTTCTTAACTTAGTACTGTTAAATTAATTATGAAATACATTGTACAGTACTGTTACATTTGTAAGTGTATTATAGCAGTGTAAATGTGTATTTTATTTTTTATTAAGTCAGAATGTATTTTTGTTTTGCTTCCTTTCAGAAAATTAATATTTATTTTTAAATAATCTCTCTTGCTTTTGATATACTCGCGCCCTCTTTGTAGGGTTACCACGCCTCCCTGACGGGGCGCGCCCCACAGTTTGAGAAGCTCTGAGTTAGATTAGTTGTAAATTAGTCCAATCTTGTCAAGTTACTAATAATTTAATGACAGCTTTCAGTTTAAAAAATGATTCCCAACTCTAGTTTCAAACTACTATAATTACAATTGCAGATGTTTAGTAGGAAAATTAAACGTAAAGCATTTTACATTACTTAAGCACTTTGCATCATAATCTTCTCTCGCTTTTGTGGAACTTCAATGAAAATTCTCACGATGGTGTTGTTCTGGAAGTTTGAAGAATGGAATGCCAGCTCATATACCGTCCTCGTCACATGACAGTGGTTCAGAAGTAAGAGGTCCATCATCAATAGCCCTCGAATAGCTCTAAAATGCGATGTTAAAAAACATCAATCAACTAACTTCATTGTAAACTTAACTCGATATAATTCAGATTTTAGTTATTTTTTAAGGGCTTTTCCAAAACATATTTTTTTCCAACTTGCATAGTCTCGAAACTGTAGTTACAAATTATTAATTTTCATTATTGAG